ATGAAAATTCGTTTGGTTAATTAACAATTCCACTTATATTATTGAAGAACTCGTGACAATTTTATAGAATAGGTAAAATAAGATAATGTAGTGGTCACGTGCCCTTTAGTAATACTAACAAACAGAACTTATTAATCGTATTAGATAATGATTAGCGATGTAATTCGTGACCTGTTTTAGGTAGGTCTCACATAGATGATTTATGACAGACTACTGAATTAGCAATTGTTCGATCATGAATTGAATAGAAACCCAGAGTGATGATTGCATCCACTTCACATACTATGAATATCTTAACGCATATATAGATTAATGACGTTGTTTTACAACCAATTGAATTAAAGTAACATGGATATCGTTTGTTTCTCGCCTACATTCTGTGCTTTCTGTACACTCATTATTAGTATAGAACAACATATTGGTTTCTGTCATTTGGTGGCCCTAGTCTACGTTTAGTCTTACTAATTAATGTGGCCTAGCGCACCTCGATAGTAACACAAGTGTAGATTTGTGGTCTTTTTTGATATGCAGAAAACTGTACAACATATTAATCATGAATCAATTCACTGATATGACCGCCTACATATCTTATGAATGGAGCATACATTCACAGCATTGCATGATCACGTTTGAGAATGTCATCAGGTTTAGTCATGTCAACAGACAGGAGACAATGTGCTTAGGTTTACATATTGTTATTACAGCCTGCTGATATCTTTATTTGTAGAACGAAAACAACAATACAGTTTTTTGGTGTTCTAAAACACATCTTATTTTACCTGCGAAATCACGTGATTTACCAATATACATGGCAGTCACTAATGCAGGTGTCGGTATTCACGCATACTATAATGTGTTTTTTTAATCAACACATAGTAAACGCACAAAAACGATATATACCGAAGAAAACGGTAAAATTGATTCAACAAGGAGTCGCTTTGCTCCGTGTCGACCGAAAATGAATCTGCTTGTACCATGCTTTTGTGAAATCAAAAAAACATGAGAAAATTAAAGATGCACAACGTGAAAACACTGTGATACAACGTATTGAAGTTAGTATTACTCACATAAAGTTGATTGTACATCTGTCGTTTGCAATTTGCAATTTATTCAGCAGCACCCCTACCACAAGTTCAATTTAAATCTGATATTGTAGATGTCAAATTAGCTAATGAAAATTAGATAATCGATGTGCTATGGTTTTCACATCTGTGGATTACCGAACAGCATCTATGTACTAAGTTTAATGAAATGTAATGGTTATTCATATCATGCAAATCAGTTACTTAATATGCACGGATTTTAATCCAAAACAGGCATGTGCATGTCCTCGGGCACCTATGTACCTAGAGCAGCTTCTATGTGTCAAGTTTCATACTTTGATACTTGAGATATCAGTGGAAAAACCAAAAATTTACTATGTATTAGGCGCTGATTTTAACCCCAAACTTATCAGGTCAGAGCATTGTCCTGGTTAACCTGTCTGAAATCTGACCAGTGGTTCTTGAGATTCCGTGAAACAGACACACTTTTATAACTCACAGACAGGGTAACTACAAAGACTCACATTGTGTGCTTCACACACCGAAATCAAAAAGACACAGAAAGAAAAGAATCCAGGTACTCCATCATTTAACAAGAAATCCGTTGATCTGTGAGAGAGTGTTTATTTTGGGTATGTCCAACACAGAGTGATGCTACGTTATTTTTTAGATCGAGACAATTATTTAACCCATGTAGTTACTAATGTTTGTTTTAAAGCTTAGTCTCTTTCATTTTACC